TAATGGCCAATTTTAGCATCATTCCACAGAGCTGCTACCTAGGTAGCATCAGGGGGGAACTGTAAATAAGACATAGCAGAGAATAGAAGTTCTCATACTTGGGGTTTGAAACTTTCCTAAAAAAAACCAGAATTCTTGTTCAGCAGTGCTGCAGCTCTTTTGCAGGGAGCAATGATGGAACTGCCAAGAAATTAGGCTGAAGCAGCAGCAGTCATTCTCTTTTTATTTTTTTATGGCATTTAACCATCTCAAGGACCAAAAACCATCATTACAAGAAGCCTTTTGAACCTTTTGGGGCCAAGCCACTGTTGCAGAGGGGACACGTGTGTGACATTTCTGACAGGCCTTTCTTCAGCAAAAATATAAAAATCTCTTCCCTTATATCCAGGAATGACACATGCTCTCTTCAATTTGTTTATGAAATAGAAATACAGCAGCAGAGATTTCCAAGGCTGAAAGTTCATTACCTTTCTGAATGTAACTCCCAAATTCTGCCATGGCAGTTGTATTCAAATCCTCTGGAGACCTGGACACAGTGGGGATTTTAATGGCCCCTTCAAAGAAACACAGAACAGGAATCACTCAGCACCAAAATCAAACAAAGCTCAAACTGCATTTCAAATGGGGAAGCACATTTATGCTCCTGAGTGTTTTCCAGGATTTAAACATTATTTCACAGCACAGCACGAGCTGCCACGACCCAAAAAAAGACTGACATGCTTCAGCTGGGCCGTGCACATGCAGCCACCAGCATTTCCTAACAGCTCAGCCAAGGTATCTCTCCAGATAATTTGACTCCACTTTTCACTGCTGAAGTGTTGAATGATATTGTTAGAAATGCTACTGTCCAGGAGCAGCTGCAATTTGCTTGGGTGATCTGATTCCCCAGAGCCACAGACTCCTCTGGCAGCTGGACAGGCAGCTGAGTTGGCAGTCCAAGGTTCTTTCTCAAGAGTAAGGCAGGTTGTGATGGTTATTACACCTCCATATTGCTCTGTTAATTAATCTATATAAACAGACAGAGCTTTTGTTGGCCCTTTTGGTCTGCCCTGTCATTTAAACAGGTTCTCCAACATCCAGTCCCTGTGCTGCAGAACATGGGGATAACTCAGTCCCAGCTGCCTTTCCAAACAGCAGCTGCCAGGAGGGGTTTTGGATTCTTTTGAGGTTGTGTGATTCATGAATTAACACAAAAATCTATTGTGAGCCTTCATCTTCCCATTAAAAAAAGAATGCAAACATGATCTGCTAGGCAATAAATCCTCCGAACCAGCAAGGTATGAGGTTTACACACAGGGTTTTATCACTTGGTGCCAGATTGTGGTTTCCTGCACAGTGCCAGCCCTACTGAGAGCTAAACCCCTCAAATCTTCTACGTCAGACAGCACAAACTGGTCACAGCAGTGCTGAGCAAGAACAAGAAAGGGAGAAAATCCTGACAGTGACTTAGCCAGTGGACAAAGGGATGTCTGGAAACGCTGTCACGGGTGTCTGGTGAAATTCTGTGCATACGAGCAGGAAACGGTGGAGAAAATCAACACAGGGCAAGAGTTGGCTCAGGAGAACCCCAGGATCACTGAGGCTGGAAAATCCCTCTGGGATCAGTGAGTCCGAGCTGTGCCCGATGCCCACCCTGAGCCCTGAGTGCCACCTCCAGCTGCCACCTCCAGGGACGGGGACTCCAAACCTCCCTGGGCACTTCCAAGGCCTGGCCACCCTTTCCATGAGGAAATTCCTGCTGCTGTCCAAGCTGAGCCTCCCCTGGCCCAGCCTGAGGCCGTTCCCTCTCCTCCTGTCCCTGTTCCCTGGGATAACATCCCAAATCCCCCCCGGCTGTCCCCTCCTGGCAGGGACTTGTGCAGAGCCAGGAATTCCCCCTGAGCCTCCTTTTCTCCAGGCTGAGCCTTCCCAGCTCCCTCAGGATTCTCCAAACCCTTCCCAGCTCCCTCAGGATTCTCCAAACCCTTCCCAGCTCCCTCAGGATTCTCCAGCCTTTCCTGAACTGCAGCGCCCAGAACTGGACACGGCGCTCGAGGTGTGGCCTCAGCAGTGCCCAGCAGAGATTTTCAGTCACTTCCTCAGTCCTGCCGGGAGCCAACACCCGGTTCCTGCCAGGGAAAGCACCTGGAGCGAGGCCGCCTGCACACCCGTCCCCCCGTGCCCTGGATCCCCCCTCAGGAGGGGCCAGTCCCGGGGCGAGGGGGGCTCGCAGCGCTCGGGCCCCCTCACCTCGCAGCGCCTCCTTGAGCTCCCGCCGCTCGCCGGCGCTGAGGGCGGCGGTGCCGGCGCTCCGTGCCCAGAGCCGCGGGACCCCGGCCGGGGCTCGCAGGACGAAGGCTCGGAGCAGGACGACGGCCGCCAGCGCCAGCACTACCGAGCCCAGCGCCAGCAGCGCCGCCACCGCCGCCCGCCGCCCGCCCGCCATCACTGACCGCCGCACGCCCGCAGCTGACGAGCGTGGCCCGGAGCCAATCGCCTCCCGCCCTGTCGGGATGACGACCAATGAGATTGGAGCATGGGCGGGTTGGCCCCGCCCCTCTCGTGGGTGCTGCTGGGAGCTGTAGTTTGCAGGGAATATGGCGGCTGCTGGAAGCGAGGAGTTAGGGAATGGTTTGCGTTGGAAAAGCTCTAAAATCCCATTTTATCCCACCCCTGCCATGGTCAGGGATACTTCCCACTGTCCCAGGGCGCTCCAAACCCTTTCCAGCCGGCCCTTGGACAATTCCGGGGTGGGGCAGCCACAGCTTCTCTGGGCAGCCTCTGCCAGGGCTCAGCACTGTCACAGGGAAGAATTTCTTCCAAATATCTTGGGATGCTGCTTTAAAAAAGATGTGGATAAACGGAGTTCCTGTGGGGAATAACCATCCCCAGGCTCATTGAGGCCACAAGTGACACAGAACGATGCCAGGACTGGGCCAAGGGACAGCCCAGGGAACCTCTGTGTTGTGCAGCTCCACTCCTTACAGACTTTAAATCCACCTGCTTTCCAAAATGTGTCACTTATTTCCTTGATTCCACCAGCTTGCACGACAGAACAGTTCTCATTCCCTTCTTTACAGCTGTTCTGAACTGAATGTGAAGATTTATCGCAGATTCCCATGGCATAAACTGTCCCAGGATGCCAAAAAGGCCAGCTGGGAACAGCCATGGAAATCCTGCCCTTGAGTCAGCAGAAGATGACGGTGATTGTTCACACATTCTTTATTATAAAAACAAAAAGAACGAAACCAACATTAAATTAAATAAATTACAAACATTTCTGAGCGGATTATACATCATGCATTTACCAAGTAAGGCTTCAGAGCCAAAACACATCAACCTCACTGTTACTTAAGAGCAATAAAGGGAATTTTTTACCAGAAGTGAAAATATTTCACCAGCACGACTTTGAGCTCCCCTTATTCTCTGCCCAGGCACTTGGGAATTATGACTTTGGCCACCCTGTGCTTCCAGCAGTGCCATTTGCCTCCTGGTGTTAACATTTATTGCCAGAACTGAGCCAGAATTTGGCTGCAGAAATGTGGTTTCCTCCTGCCTGGGTCATGATTTGCTGCTGCTGTTGTTTTCTCGTGACATCCCACCCCATTTCTTGTAGGAAGTTTAGGAAATACAATCTGCTTCATGCCTCTGCTCTGAGGATTCCTGCATTTGGCCCGTCAGACCCCAGGCTGGGAAATCGACCTCCTGTAATAAATCCTGAAGAGCTGGGAATTGAAACTTCCCTCTTTTAATGTGAGATGCAAAAATATTGATCAGGGCAGTTTCCTGTTGCTCTGCACCTATTTCTGTTCTGCCTTTCTTTCAAAATTAGTGCTTTTTAAAAGGAGCACTCAGGCATTACAAAAGGACATGAGGAATCACCCTCAAGGATAATTCAAGAGGCTTAATCCCTTCATTTTACCTCGTAAAACAATATATACACAGGGATTTCTGGAGAAACCACTGTTGTTTTATATTAAAACGAGTAATAAGCATCAGCTAGTGGGGTTTTCTGCCCTCCTTTGGTTTTATTACTCTCTCCTGCACCACATAATCAGAAATTGAGGTAGAGAAATGGTGACTTGGTTATTGAGATGTTACATAAAACCAAACTGGCAGGGGGCTGCTGTTGTTTGCTTTAGTGACTGTCTAGCAAGGATGGTTGAAGAAGTTCTATTTTCCTTAAAAATGAGACATCTGGGAGCTGCAGGAAAGCCTCACATTCTCTTCCCAGGAAGCCTTCAGCAATCAGCCCAATAATATCTGTGTACTTCAAAACCGTACACTAAAGCTTGCTTATATATTTGTAATATTTTTTTTTTAGAGTATTAAAATAGAAACAGCATTTTCAAATATTTTAAAAGTCTATTTTCATGTGCTCAACCCACCAAGCAGGCAGGACAACCTGCATGTAATGAGGAAGTCTTATTTCTGAGTACAAGCCTGTCCTAGTAAGGAAAAAAAAATCATGTTATTTGAGAATTCAGCCCTGCTGAGAGAGTCCTGAGGCCTTTGGGGTGTCAGAAATAGAGCACTGGTTCGAGGCAGTGTTTTTTGGGATGCTGGGATGCAGAAGAGGAGAGGCAGAGACTGCAGAGACCCGCAGGGAAATTCGGGGTGGACATCAGAGAGCAGCAGCACTGCCACACCTCGTGGAGCCGAGCCCCAAAAAGGCTTTTCACCTTTGTATTTCACTTCCTCGGGGAAAGGGAGGGAGCAGGACGCCCAGATGATGCAATTCCAGCGTGGGCAGAAGGATGGTGGGGGACGAAGGGGTGGCTGAACGTCCCCTGAGCCGAGCTCCACTTCTGCAGTCCCTGAGATGGCATCTCCCGAGCTTCCCCAGGCTGCTCCTGCTCCAGAGTCCTCTGCTCCGAGTGAAAGCAGGGAGGAGAGAGGGATCTGGCAGCTCCAGAGGGTGATGGCCTCTTTGCAGAGCCGCTGTATCCCCAGGTAGAAGCAGAGGTCTCCAGTGGGAGAGAGGAGCCAGTTCTGGAGGGCTTGCCTGCTGCTCGCTGTGCTCACAGAGCTGTCTGGCTCTCTGAGTGGAACATGCTTCCAAACATCTCCTAAAGGGCACAGAAGATGAGCGGGGTCAGGGCTGGTGGCAGGGCTCGGTGTCATTGTCACACCGACAGCCCCTGCCTGCCCTCCGTGCTTCCAGCTGGCCACGGACAGGCAAGGCCAGCCCAGCTCCTCCCAAAGCCCACACGGGGCTGCAAATCTCTGCAGCATTCACAAAGCCTGTGCTGAAAATCTTCACTGATTTCCTCTTCTTTCGGGTGTGAAGCAAACCTGGTTCTCCAAGTTCCCCACAGGTGTGACTGACCCTGAGCTGCAGAACGATTGAAGGATTCCTCTGTGGGGTCACCTGCCTGCTCCTCATCCAGGTGCCTTCCAGAGCTCCTCAAGGCAGGGATTTATAATTTTATTTGCAGTTAACTTCCCGAAGCACTGCAGTTACTTTCAGACGATTTCCCATCTAAGCAATCCCAAGTGGAAATTCTGATTTCTGCCTCATCCCCATGGCTGCAGGGACCCCTGGCACTACAACTCACCTCCTCCAGGTTCTTGTACTCCGCACTGCTCTCGTCCACAGATTCATCATAGATGGAGAGCTCTGTCTGGGTCTGCCTCTGTGCAGGGAAGAGTCGAGTCCACAAATCAGCAGGGACAAAAGGGATGAAAACAATGACTAAGCCAGGCCTAAAAGGTGACACGCCCCGAGGGAAATGCCCAGGAGAAGAGGCACAGAAGGAATCCTGCTCCAGGTGTTTATCTGCTGTGACTGGGCTGGTGTTTGCCTATCGCTCTGGTTTGATAGCAGATACCTTAACTGGTCCTGGGGAGATAACTGGTGCTGCTGGTGCCAGCTCCAGCTGGCACACAATAAACCATCCCCTGTTCCCAGAGCCACACTGTGCCACCAGCCTCAGAATTCCTGCCTCAGAATTCCTCCTGTTCTCCTCCCACCAATGGGGCATTCATGGATGCCAGGGCTGTTCCAGCTGAGCTTTTCTTCATCACTGAGGGCCAAACTCTGCCTTTGCCTGTTTCAGCCAGCACCAAACTGAGGGCACAGTGCTGGAACAGCTCCTCTGGCTCCTCCAGGCTGGGACAACACTCATCTCTCAGCTGAGGGTGTGTGTAAAACACTGACACTTCTGAATTCCCATGGAAATTCCATCACAATTCCATTCCATCACAAGGTGCTCAGCCCACACATGACAACTGGAATATTAAATATTTTGCAGGATTTAGACCTTTACCCCTTGAGATGAACAAGAAGATTCATTAGGTGAAGTAGCAATTTGTTATTCTTCCATTGATGCAACCTGGAAGCCAAACAGGAGAATCCTGTGGGCTGGGGAGCAAATTTACCTCTTCCAAGATGGGAGGGTGGACAAATTCTCTGATGCTGGCCAGTGCAAACAAAACAGCATCGTGGATGGTCAGGAAGATGTGACTTCGGTCCAGGCCTCCTTCCTCAAAGACTCCCCCTGTGCTGATGTCGTTGTACACCTGGGCTGGAGAAAGGAGAGAGCTGAACGAGGAGGAAAGCAGAGGAGGAATTCTGGAGGTGTTTGTGGCTGCTGGGGTCCTCTGAGCTAAGGCAAGGCTCAGAAGAAGCAGGTTTGCAGCAGAAATGGGTGTGGGGATCTGTTTTTCTGCATGCTGAGTGTGGAGATGTCCCAGCCTTATCACTTCCCAAATGAAAGCACTGATTTCACACCCAGAGAAAAGTGATTTTCTTTTCTTTCTTCTGTTTTCTCCTTTTATCTGTTCTGGCCTGGTCCAGCAAAGGATTGGCATCTCACAGTTTGAATAAAGAGCAGAAAAAGATCTGCTGTTTGTCAGGAGCTCAGAAATGGGGCAAGAACCCATGGAAATGTGTAATTGGGGGATTCTTACCATGCACGTTTGCCAAGAAGACTTTAATCCCAATCTTCTGGTAACTGGAACACAACTGGAAGGGATGAGATGGGAGAGAGAGGATTAAAAACACTGCTGCTCCAGCTTTGTGTTTATGCATAAAGTCTTTCATCAGGGCTGGGGCTGAAGGAGAAAATCAGGCACGCAGGAGGAGAAAAGCCACACAACTGAGGCACAAAAACACCTTCATGTGAGACAGCAGAAGCTCCCTGCTGCCCAGCAGTGTTGGCAGTACAGAACTAACCTTGCTGAGCGCTTTTGTGCCCATCAGGTCCACGAAACACACCCCGCTCATGTCTAGGATGATGGTGTGGAAGCTGATGTAGGGCGGTGCTGTCAGCACAGGGTCGGTGAAGGTGCTGCCCTGCAGGCTGCTGCTGCTGCCCAGCTCCCCGGGGCCCTGCCCCAGCCCAGCCCCCTGGGCAGGAGGGTGGAATGTGATGTAGGAGATGCTGGCACCGTTAGCAGTGGTCTGGTTGTTGTTGGTGTCTGTTGGAGAGGCGCTCTCAAAGTCCTTCTGGAGCTCTTGCAAAGACAAGGTCTGCGGCGCAGCAGAGAGGCAGAGTCAGGGCAGGGCACAGGTGAGGTCCTGGCAGGTGACTGCACCTCTACCCACTGACATGAAGTGGTTTAGTCTGGACTAACTCCAGCCTGGCTGTCCCTTGGGCTGGATTTAGGATAATTTACATGACCTGTTTATTTCCAAACTGCTCAGCATTGCAAAACAAACGGGGTGACTGAGACGGGCTTTGAAAGGACACCTTGGGGCTGAAGTGCTGACACATCCCCACAGAAAGAGGCCAGAGTTGGCTGCTTTCTGCAGATTGTTCACCGTGTTCCCATTCCAGCCTCATCCCCAGCCATTCCCAGATTTCCTGCACCTTAAGGTTTGGGGAGGAATAGGTGGGGAGGAGAGGGGATGAGAGGTGGGAAATGGAATGTTTTCCTGTGGCCAGGAAAGCAGTGCAGAAAATCCCATGTCAAGAGGAGCTGTCTGATGGGGACTCGGGGTCGTACTCATGGATATGGGGACCTTTTTGGGAACTCGGGAGCTGAGTTACCTTGCTCTCCTTCAGCAGGAATTTCGGGAGCTTCGCTGGTGGTTGTGCTGTGCCCTTTGCCTGCTGTTTCACAAACTTCCTCCTGGCCAAGTACACCTTGCCAGGATCCACCCCTGTCTGTGGGAAAGAGAGATTTTTCTTTAAAAATCCCGTTCCAAGAGTCAGGAGCTGCTGTTCCTTCCCTGGAATTTCCCAGCTGTGCACTGGAGTGGGCTGATCCTGATCCAAACGTCTCCTGAAACTCAGGGAACGTGCAGGGACAGACTTGGAACAGCAGGATGCCCCTGTTTTGGCAGAGATCGGAGGAGGAAGCTGCCAGGATTAGGGCACAACCTCTAAAATGAGCTCTGCAAACAGCCCTGAGGATCAGGGAGAGGAGGATTGAGGAGCAGAGGATGGATGATGATCATTCATGATCACCCACGGCTCAATTACCCCCGTGTAGCAACACAGGAGAGATCAAGGGCAGCTTGGGATTGGCTTCAGGCAGGGATTTGTTAAAGAATTGCTCACCTTGGCTATAATTTTCTCCCGGAATATCTCTGAGTTGGCGAAATACAGTGGCGAGCAGTAGGTGACGATTTTAATCCCATTAATTTCATGGACCTGCACCAGAGACAAGAGCTCAGAGCAAGCCTGGGCACCGGTGGCAAGGAACAGCATTTTCTCTGAGGATGTTTTATCTTCAGCTCACCTTGTTGTAGGTTTTGGGGTTCTTGTAGATGTCGGTGGAAGTCACCTGGCCCAGGGCAGAGCCGTTGCGGCTGCAGAAAAGAAGAGATCAGCATTAGGGGAAAGAAAATTCCATCCCAGGATCTGAACATTTGCTTCGTGAAAACTCTTACATTTCATCCCTGCAGAGTCTACAGGGCAAAAAAAATTTAAAAAAATTAAAGAAGGGTTTGTATTTTGAGGAGCCAGACTGGGAAATACCAATAAACGCTTTGGATGGATTAAAAGTGGCGTGACGACCTCACAGCAGGGCCTGACACCCAGACAGGGCTCGCTCCTTTTGCGAGCAGGACTTGGTGCTGGGAACTGCGTGGGGCCAAGCAAATTCCTGGAGGCTTCCCCTTGCCCTGGGATGTGCACGGCAGCGGGAATGCGGGCGCGAAATCGGCGCCTGCCATTCCTGTTTGCGCATTCCGGGCAGGACACCTGCGCTCCCCGGGGCTCCTGCCGCGCGTTCCGCGGGCCAGAGGTCGCTCCTGGAAAAATCACCTGTCCCTCCTTCTGCCCCTGGGAGATCTCCCGTGGTTCTCGAGGCAGTCAGGTACTTACAACTGGGTGTGGAAAACCACAACGAGCACGGAGAATCCCACGCCCACCGCCACGCCGTAGGGGAGGCTCAGGAAGAAAGCGGAGAGGAAACTCACGAGCCAGACCAGCTGCAGGGAGAGGAGGGGAGAGAAGAGAGTGGCTGGTGGTTTGAACCATGGCTAGAACCATGGGCTACGGGGTTGGGATGGGAAAATGGATGGGAAAACGGACGGAAAACCGGAAAAACGGATGGAAAAGTGGATGGGAAAAAATGGATGGGGAAAAACGGATGGGGAAAAACGGATGGGGAAAAACAGATGGAAGAGCAGAAAAACGGATGGAAAAAATGGATGGGAAAACACGGATTAAAAAAAGGATGCAAAAAACAGATTGGGAAAAATGGATGGAAAAAAGGGATGGGAAAAAAGGGGATGGGGGAAAAAGGGATGGGAAAAAAAAGGGATGGGAAGAAAAAAAGGGATGGGAAGAAAGAAGGGGATGGGAAGAAAAAAAGGGATGGGAAGAAAAAAAGGGATGGGAAGAAAAAAAGGGATGGGAAGAAAAAAAGGGATGGGAAGAAAGAAGGGGATGGGAAGAAAGGGATGAGAAAAAAAACGGATGGGAAAAAAAAATGGATGGGAAAATGGATGGGAAAAACCAGATGGGAAAATGGCTCTGTGCTCCTATCCCAGACTCTCCAACCCTCCCAGGCTCAACATGAGTAGGCCAAAGCCTGGATTCTGCAGCTGTTGTAATGCTGCAGTTTGCTGCATGTTTCAGAGTGAGCCATCCTTGCTGGGAAGTTTGCCAGGAGCCCCAGTTTCTTTTCAGCCATCTGAGCAGCCGAGGCATTTCTCCACGGCTGCTCGAGCGCCCGCTCCGCTTGTTCCATCCGAAAAGGATCGGCCTGGCTCGTCAGGAAAGGGCTCCTGCAGATCCCACCGTCTGCTGCTCCCTGCTCCAGCCACGAGCAGCTCCTGCTGTCAGTCAGAGCAGCTCAGAAAAAAGCAGGAATCATCTCCCTGAATCCTGCCTGAGCACCTGTTAGAAACGGCCTGAACACAGGGAGGATTTGGTGGCCAAGTGTGACAGAGGAGACCAAAACCTGCCCCACTCCAGCTCAGAGTCATTTTTTGTGTTGGCACTCAAGCATCTCACTCCATGGGAAATCAGTCCTGAGTTTAAACATCCCCTGTGAAAATCAGCATCAGGTTGTTTTAATCCCGTCCTCAAGATTAATAAAAACTAACTTTGACCTTGGGTGTATGAGTAAAGGTAACTTTGTGACTTCAATATCTTAATTTATATTGATTTTGTGTATAAATGGCAGGGAAGAGCTTCCATCCATCCATCCATCCATCATCCATCCATCATCCATCCATCATCCATCCATCCATCATCCATCCATCATCCATCCATCCATCCATCATCCATCCATCATCCATCCATCATCCATCCATCCATCCATCATCCATCCATCCATCATCCATCCATCCATCATCCATCCATCATCCATCCATCATCCATCCATCCATCATCCATCCATCCATCATCCATCCATCCTCCATCCATCCATCCATCATCCATCCAGCCATCATCCATCCATCATCCATCCATTCATCCATCCATCC